CAGCTACTTTCCCTAGATGAAAAATGTTCTTTTTTGTGGGGGATGGGTGGGTTTGGGTCATGGCCAGGGATGCTCAGGGATTATCCCTGGCTCTGTACTCAGGTGTCACTCCAGGTGGTGCTTGGGGGACCATATGGGATGCCAGAGATCAAGCCTAGGTCAGCCATGTGCCATGCAAATGCCCTACCTGCTGTACGATCTCTCTAATTCCAGTTTTTTTCTTCATTTTTATTGAGAAAATCAAGTGCAGGTAGGCGCTTCGTGTTTCTCACCGACTCCTGTTTTATTCATTTTCCCACCTTCCTCCTGCTTCAAATGTCTCCTAGACAAACTTTGAGTCTGGCGACAATTCACCAAGGGAACAGATCATGGCTATAATTGACCAATGAAGCGAAGACCAACTAACTAATCCCCCCTTTCTTTTCACCCAAATCACTGCATACGTGCCATTTTTTTGTTTACTTTATTGAAACATTACAAAGTTGTTCATAATGCAGTTCTTACAGGCATTCAACGTTCCCACACCCTCCCACCGCCAATGTGACCTTCCCTCGACCACTGTCCCCAGTTTCCCACCCACCACCCAAGCCTCAGCTGGGACAAAATGATTTATTTCATATTGCTTATTACAATTAAATAGCCAATGAAATGATATCAAAATTCTGCAGTGAAAGAATCTGTGAAAACTGTTACATCTCACCATGGGACCATTAAGTCATTGTCTGGGGATTTATTGTTTGTTGCTAGTTGGTCCTTCTGGTTATTGTTTTTGTTTGTTGAGCTCAGTTGGCTTCTGTGCTACTTTCCCACCTAATTTGCCGTGTTCCTCCTAAGCTGTCAGTATTGTGGAATTTGGAGGGGGTCTCGTAGCCACGCACGCGGCTACAACTCCAGGAGCTCTAGGCTCTGGAGAACTGGGCTGATGAGTGAACCCAGTGGCAATTGTGGAGTGTGGATGTGGCCATTGGGGCTTCCAGAAGTCCAGGGCAGGTTATGGGGAGACAGCCCAGACCCCACTCTGAGAAGACCTCCAGAGTTCTCAGCCTGAAAACGGGGGTACCTGGAACTTTTGCCAGTTTGGCAGCTCTGCAGAGATCAGCCATGAATCAATGACTCGGGCTGTTGGCATGGGGGCAGCTGTGGGGTGTGGGGTGACTGCCGGGGCTTTGATAGGGCAGGGACCAGGCTTGCCCACTTCCCAAGGGCATCCCCGAGTTTTCAGCCAGAAGACCAGTGTGCCTATGAGTTTCAGGAGCTTGGTTTGTATCTCTTCCGAGGAAAGCCGTGAGTCTGAGACACAGGGCCGATGAGTTTAGGTAGTGGTGGCATGTCGTGTGCTTGATTTTAAGTGGCATACATCTTTAAGAGAAATTCTATTGTTATTGGCCAGCATTAGGCACAGCTGGACCAAGGTGCTGTCACTGGTCATCTTCTTTTTTTTTTCTTTTTGGAGCAATAACACAGCGGTATGGCATTTGCCTTGTGCAAGGCTGGCTCGGCCGAGCAGTGTTCGATTCCTCCGCGATTCCTCCGCCCCTCTCAGAGAGCCCGGCAAGCTACCGAGAGTATCTCGCCCTCACAGCAAAGCCTGACAAGCTACCGGTGAAGTATTCGATATGCCAAACACAGTAACAACAAGTCTCACCATGGAGACGTTACTGGGCCGGCTCTAGCAAATCAATGAACAATGGAAGGACAGTGCAGTGCAGTGCTTTTTTGGGTCACAGCCAGCAATGCACAGGGGTTACTCTTGGCTCTTCACTCAAGAATTACTCCTGGTGGTGCTCAGGGGACCCTATGGGATGCTGGGAATCGAACCCAGGTTGGCCGTGTGCAAGGCAAACGCCCTCCCCGCTGTGCTATCGCTCCAGTCCCTCTGGTCATCTTCTTTAATCTCTTGACTCTGGTGTCTTCGGTGCTGGTTCTGCCAAGCCCCCCTCCTCCACTTAGCCTTCCTGCTCATTTGTCACCACGTGGGAGAAGCACAGCTCAGTGCGGCTCAGTGAGAGTCAAAGAATCCCTTTGCGTCAGCCTGGCAGTGGCCAGACACCCCCCTAAGCAACCTTTCTAGCAAGGGAAAGAGAGGCTCTACGGGAGAAACCTGGGAACAGGTTTTCCCCGGACACAGCCTGGTTCTTGCAAGTTTACCAAAGATCCTTGACCAGTGATCCAACACCCAGAGCCACCGTCTGGCCCAGGCTGCTTTAGCGTGAACCTTAGATGCCTCCTCGGTAGACTCGAACCTTCTTCAAAGCCACGGATTGGCACCTTCTGAAACTGGGAAGACGTTTCTGTTAAAGATGTTTTCTCTGGTTGTCGTATCCTTACGTATCTCGAGCTCCTTTGGTTTCCAGTCCGGGGAAATCTGAAAGGCAGCAATGAACGCTCTTGGCGTTCTGCAGATCCTTCCCATCCTGACATTGAGTCACTCCCTGGCATCTCCCCTGATTCCTCTTCTCCCACACAAAGCACCCCCTCGGGTCATTCCCATGCCTGCCAGGTTTGCTTCTGGGCACCCCTCCCCCTCCTCCATCACTTCCTTACCCCACACTCTCCCGCCCCTGCCTTCCCAGGGGTAACATTTACCTGGCTGTGGATTCCTGGGCCAGAGAAAGGGGAGAACCAGCAGAGACACAGCAGGTCAGGGAGGACCCCGAGTGCTTGTCCCCATCTTCTGTCTCGTTTCTCCTCAGCTCCTCGATGCTTCAGGAGATGCTGCTCTGGCCAGAATCCAGCTCTTGGTTCTCATTTGTCTGCTCCTGATGCCAGGCACAGTGACAGTAAAAGTGGGCAGATTCACTGGCTAAGAGTCATGTGTGTATGCATGGCGCGGCGAGCATTTGCCACTAGATGGATTAATAAGTAACATGCAGAGACACAAAGGAATCTTGATTCACACACGCACACATACACACAAGCATACAAACACACACATGCACACATACACTCACACACATACAAGCATACAAACACACATGCACACACACTCACACACATACCAACATACAAAAACACACGTGCACATACACGTACACATGCACACACATACAAGCATACAAACACATACACGTGCACACACACACACATACAAACACACACGCACACACGCACACATACAAACACATACCATACTGGAGACAAGCATACAAAAACACACACACACAGACACACATACACACACATGCACACATACACTCACACACATACAAACATACAAACACATGTGCGCACACACACAAATATACAAACATTCACACACACGCACACCTTTCTCTTTCTGTTGTCCTACAAGTTTTCAGACAAGTGACTGACTCTCTAAGGCACCCGCAGTGCTGTGGGGACCCTTCCTGGGAACCGGAGGCTCTTGGGACGTGGCCCCAGCGTGGCCAGGCAGTGTAAGGGCCTTAGCACGTGCCTCTGCAGGGACCATCTCAGTGCGGGCCAGGGCGTCAGAGACTTTGTTGGAGTAAATGCAGAGATAATCAGGGACCTGCCCAGGATCACACTACTTGGTCGAGAGAATCCAGGCCCTTGATGGTGACTCCCAAGGCCCCCTTGGCTCTTCCTCTCTGAGCACGATTCAGGGCCTGGGACAAGCGGCAGCACTAGAGAGACGGGTGAGCATGGAGGTCGGCAGGAACAGAAATGGCGGGTCAGGAAAACTCCAGGAACCCCCGAGGCTCACATCTCCTGCTGTGAGGGCATCTGTTGGCCCAGCGCCCAGTGGGCAGCTTCGTGGATGTCCCTCGGTCAGTCTCCAGAATGGTAAAGAGTTGTGGCCACGGAGTCTGAGTGGGGAGGTGGCCCGACTCCTGCTGCCTCTTGACTTACTGGTGAGCTGTGGAAGGTCCGCGGCCTGTAACTCTCTCACCCACCAGCAGCAGCATCGTGGCTCTCACACCAGCACTGCCCAGACGTCCACACCCTCCCCACTCTGCTCCATGCGCCTGTCTCTCCCATGCAGAGACCGAGTGGCCAGGCGGGCCTGCTATTGGTTTTCGTTAGCAGGAATCCAAGCTCAGAGAAACGGAGTGGCTTGGATTTCAGTATGCACGAATAACTTTTTTCCCCAAACGTCTTTTTTACAAAATGACCAGCAGAGCCCAGCACCCTTCCTACCTCTCAGATGACTCATTCCATGGCAGGGCCCAAGGGTGCTCCTGCATTTCATTGTGTTCATCCACCAACTTTCTATCCAGACTTCAGCACGAGGGCAAAAACATCCAATTGCATACTTTGAACTGTGGCTTTATCTCTTTGGGAATGATTCCTGTGTGCCCCCCCCCCCCGCCCCCCCGGGGACATGTGGCCGTGTCCAGAGATTGTTGTGATTGTCTCGGCAATGCAGCACTTGGGGAACGCAACAGACGACTAGTAAGAGAGGCCGGGGGTGCTGTCTTGTACCCTACAAACACATCATGGGTATCCCCATAAAGAATGACCCAGCTTGTGGGGCCAGAGAGGTAGGACAAGAGGATAGGTCACTTGCCAGGTTCAATCCCTGGCATCTCATAGGTCCCCCGAGCACCACCAGGAACAAGCCTCTGAGCACAGAGAGATGAGTTAGCCCTGGGCACCACTGGATGTGACCCCCACAGGAAAAAAGAATGACCCCCAAAGGTGAACAGTGACCAAGTGGAAAGACGCCACCCTGAACCCCAGCTCAGCCTCTCAGCTGAAGCCACACCCACTGACCTCTCCCAGATGGCCGGGGTGGTGACAGTTCCAAGTGTTGCTAGTAAGCGCCTGCTGTATGCTTTCCACGGAGACCGACTTCCCGCCTCCCTGGCCTTCCCTTCTTCTCCCGGGAAGCACCCATCAGCACCCCCGGCACCCCCTCTGCTCTGTGGATCCCAGGCAGGGAGCGGGTGGGGGAGGAGGGAGGGAGGGCGTGGTGTCCCGTCTACACAGGCTTTGTGCAGACAGCGCTAGCAGTGTATTATGCACCCTTGAGTTTCCTCGCCCGGCTGAATAACCACTGTGTGTGTTTATGTTGACAGTCGATTTGGGAATAAGTGTCCAGCAGGACACTGGGGACACTTCTTCCCCCCAGACAATGGAGCTCAGCACGGGCGCAGATGCCCAGGCCAGCGGAAAGAATCTTGGGCCAGAAGCCAGAACCCAGCCACCAGCTGCTAAGTCGCGTTTTTCCTTGACACTCTCTCGGCCTGTACCAGGACGTACCCGAGACCGCGCCTCAGATTCATCGCGGGCACCGGTGACGCTTGATGTCAGCCCCCAGAGAGCTCCGGAGAACAAAGACCCAAGTGAGAGGCCGGGTCTTCCGGCAGCAGCTGCACCCGGGCCCGACCCGGATAAAAGCCCAGGACGCAGCCCGGCCAGCGGAGACGGCGGCTCCGTCAGTGCACAGTTGGGGGGAGGAGCCCCCGCCAAGCCGAAGGACTCCAGCTTTTTGGACAAACTCTTCAAACCGGACAGGGGACAGGCCAAGGCACCCGCAGAGAACAACCCAGAACCCGCCAGCCTCCAGCCTCCAGCCCAGCCTGCCGACACCCCGGGACCAGTCAGGCTGTGCAACCATGGCTCTAACCAGACGGTAGGTGCTGGGTGCTGAGGGGAGTGGGGGACCCCCCAGGAGTGAGGATGCGGTTCAGCCATCCCCAAAGGCCTGGCCAACCCTTTGAGTGAATAACATTTAGCCAAGGGTCTTCCCAGCTCTGTGGGAGAAACATTTGTTGAAGACCTAAGACTACCAGGGCATCGTTTTGTGTCGGTAAAAGGAAGAGGCAAGGTTGTGTGCACGCAGAGGGACTGGTACCCACATCTCTCAAATACGGTGGAGGCGGGTGCATGACCATTCCTGGTTTGGCAAAGGAGGGAAAGGCATTAGCCATGGAAAAAATGGTACCTGGACATATCCAATGCTCTGTAGGTCTCCCGGCCAGGTTCGCATCTCCCAGCCCCAAGATCCCACATTTACTTGGCTCTTCCAGCCCAGATGGATGGAAACGATCTTTCGCCTTATATTGCAGTGGAAATAGAGAAAGAAGTTTTTACAGCTCTGGGCAGACTCTTTATGCACTAGCTCTTCTCGAAGAAGCTGTGTCAAAACTAGATTTGAAAAAAACAAAAAAAAGAGCAAGGATTGGGTTGGAGATAGAGTATAGTGGGTAAGGCACTTGCCTTGCATCCGGCTGACCTGGGTTCTATTCCCGGCATCCCAGATGGTCCCCTGAGCAGTGCTAGGAATGACTCCTGAGCTTAGAGCCAGAAATAAGCCCTGGGAACAAGCGGGCATGGCCAAAAACAAAAACAAAAAAGCAAGGATTCCCCCAAACCAGTTGGTCTTTTTCCTGAGTGAAGAGAGGCAAATTCCTTTTTATCTTTTAAAATGTGCTGGCTTTTAACCTCAAGAGAACATGTTGTATTTCCAAAGAAGGACCTCTAAGTTGATGCAGTGTATTGGAAGGCATTAGTTCATAGATAGTGGTGTTGGAAGACAGCAATAAAGCCAAGTGCCTGTGAGTTGAGGTGAGAAAGGGTATATGGTGAGGGGAGGAGGGAGGGAATGCTTATTTAATGGTCTTGTAATGTAGCTTGTATCTTGGCTATTGATCTAGTTTCTCCCTCAAACTAAGGGGGGAGAAGGAGAAAGACATGAGAGGTCTTTGGGGTATTGGTGGATGGAAGCAGGTGATGGGTGTGGTATTGGAGTGATACATACATGAAACTTTTATGGGCAGTATTGTAAATAACACATGCAGCAATCAAGACTGAGGCCCCCCCCCCCAAGAGCTCAGCCCAGTGATCACCACGGCTCTGGCTATCATTTTCCAAGTGACATATATTTCCATTATACCCGGCTCCATGTTATTATTATTATTATTTTCTTTGGGATGGAGCAATGGCACAGCAAGTAGGGTGTTTGCCTTGCATGCAGCCAACCTGGCTGACCGGAGTTCGATTCCTCTGCCCCTCTCAGAGAGCCTGGCAAGCTACCGAGAGTATCTCACCCACACAGCAAAGCCTGGCAAGCTACCCATGATGTATTCGATATGCCAAACACAGTAACAACAATGTCACTGGGCCCGCTCGAGCAAATCAATGAACAACGGGAGGAGAGTGCGATTATTTTCTTTAAGGAAAATGGGATATCACATTAATCTGTGGCTTTAATACTACATCCAGGTTGCTGTCAAGAAGCATGTTGTGACTATTGGGTACCAGCTGAAAATTCTGGGTAGCTGAAATTGGGGAAAGATAATAAGACTATTGCCCTTGTCCTTGTAATTTTGCTTTCTTTTAAAAAACACTTGAAATCAGAGTATATCATTTCTTATTCCTCCTGGGTCCTTTTTCCTACACCTCCACACCCTTTGTCCAGAGACTCTTAGTTCTGTCAATGGTTTGTTTATTTACTTACTGAAGCAATGCTTAGGGAGCTCAGTAGTCAATACTTGGCCAACCTGGGGAAAGATCCAATGCAAACACTTGAGTTTACGGCATGACTCCGACCCAGAGTGCTGGGGCTCACCAGGGCCACCCCCGCAATGGCCAGTGGGGCTGGTTGGAACAAAGTCAGCTGTGTGCCCCTGTGCTCGCTTCCTGACCCCCGTGGTGAATTTTTATTTGGAGGAGGAGGCCTTTCATCACATTACATTACACACATCTGAAATCATCCCATACTTGAGGGCCCCCATTTGTCTCTCTCGGATTCCCACAATCCCCCTGAGTTCCATCTATTTCGCTACAAATGGGGAGATATGCACTTAAAAAAATAATAATAACTGAGCAGAGGCTGGAGTGATAGCATAGTAAGCAGTGCATTTGCCTTGCAAGCAGCCAACCTGGGTTCAATTCCCAGCATCCCAGATGGTCCTTCAAGTACTGCCAGGAGTAATTCCTGAGTGCATGAGCCCGGAATAACCCCTGTGCATCTCTGAGTGTGACCCCAAAGTCAATAATAATAATAATAATAATAATAATAATAACAACAACTGAGCAATATTCTATTGTATCACCATGCCACCTCTTCTCTCCCTGGTCATCTCTGGATGGTCTTTTCCTTGTCTCCATATCCAACCTTCTGTAGGCGACTCTGGGGTCCATCTCATCACTGTTGCATTCTTGTTTTGAACATTATGACTCCAGCAGCTGGTTTCCAAAGTGTCTCCAGGCATCCTTACCAACAGGACCACTTGCACAGTTTTCTTTCAAGGCAGTCGGAGACTGTGTCATACTGAGTGTGACATGGGTGGTTGTGGTCAAGGCCCATGGCCCAGAAACATTCTATGCCATGAAAAAATCAGGAACTCAGGCGCCAGAGTGATAGCACAGTGGGTAGGGTATTTGTCTTGCGCGCAGCAGATCCGGGCTCAATCCCCAGCTTCCCATATGGTCCCCCAAGCACCACCAGGAGTAATTTTTGAGTACAGAGCCAGGAGTAACCCCAGAGCATCGCTGGGTGTGACCCCCAAAAAGTAAAATAATAATAATAATAATAATATAAAAAAATTTTTTAAATAAATCAGGAACTAGAAGTTTGGGGGGGTTTCATACCAAGGGCGATGAACATGGCACCAAGATTCATGACTATTCTAGAAATGATCTGGGGGCAGGGGGCGGTGGGAGATGTTCACCTAGACGTTTTCTGAGATAACCTCTAGCTCTGTGCTCAGGGATCACTTCTAGAGGTGTTTGGAGGCCCACCCGCAGTGGCAGTGATTGAGCCAAAGTTGACTGCATGCCAGGCGAGGACCTTACCTCCATAGTTTCTCTCTGTGACCCTGATTTTTTTCCCTGGATGGGGAAACTCTTGTTGAGGTCTTGTCACTGGACCTGTGTCCCAAGGCTGTTCTACGGCTGAGATGCTTTGAGGAGCCATTTTTCTTTTCAACACAAGTCAATCATCACCCAAGTTAGGAAAAGAAGGCAGAAACACTCTGGAGCTAGGCTTTGTCAAGTTGGTGTCCCTGTCCATCCGCGTCCTGAGCATTGTGGCCCTGCGTTTCCAGTTGGATGGCCACCCCCTTCCCCTGCATCAGAGCCAAGCCAGTGGTAGCAGAAAGCTGCTTCCTGCCCTTTGAGTACCAGGCAATTCCCTGGTGCAATCCCCAATGTCATGGGCAAGTTATTGCAATTCGTGTTCAGTTCTACTTGAAAGTAAACTCTTGAACTTAAAAAAAAAAAAAAAGTTGGTGTCTCTGACAGAGGACCTCGGGGACAGCATTTCAGGGGGAGGAAAGAATCCCAAATGGAGATGTGAGGCACAAGATGAAGACTTGGGTGGAAAATATGGGTTGAGTCTGATAGATTTCAAAGCTTGGTGTGAGCTGAAAATCAGAGTAGAGCTGGAGTGATACACAGCAGGGAGGGCGTTTGCCTTGCGTGCGGCCAACCCAGGTTTGATTCCCAGCATCCCATGTGGTCCCCTGAGCACCACCAGGAGTAATTCCTGAGTGCAGAGCTAGAATTAACCCCTGTTCCCTGTGCATCGCCAGGTGTGTCCAAAAAGCGAAAAAAAAAAAAAAAAAAACAGGGGCTGGAGCGATAGCACAGCGGGTAGGGCATTTGCCTTGCACGCGGCCGACCCGGGTTTGATTCCCAGCATCCCATATGGTCCCCTGAGCACCGCCAGGAGTAACTCCTGAGTGCAGAGCCAGGAGTAACCCCTGTGCATCGCCAGGTGTGACCCAAAAAGCAAAAAAAAAACCAAAAAAAAAACCCCAAAAACAGAGTAATCTTTTAGCTGATCCTGGCTGGTCTTCCCAGCTTAATACGGTAGTCACTTTTTTTTTTTTTTTTTGTAAATAGGGGTTTATGAGGAGTTATGGGCTCTGCTTGTTCAAGTTCTTATAAATGACATTTACGACTCCGTGGGTGTCATCACGCTGATGAGATGATGGATCTCTTATGACTATGGGCACTAACCACTGAGCTATTACCTCAGCCTAGCATTTGGGATGCTTTTTTTTTTTAACAGTTGTAGATTTACAATTTTTTGTGCTTGGGTTTCAATTATACAATGATCAGATACCCATCCCTCCACCAGTGCCTGTTTTTCACCACCATGGATAATATCCCTCCCACCCCATCCCCCCATCCCCCCCTGCCTCTGTGGCAGGGCAATCCCCTGTGTTCTCTCTCTCCGTTTGGGTGTTGTGGTCTGCAAAAGAGGCATTGAGTGGCAAACATGTTCAGTCCATAGTCTACTTTCGACATGCATCTCCCCTCCTGGGTAGTCACTTTTTAAGATACACCCATGCCTGTTTGCCTGTCACCCCAAACTGTTTTTTGCTTGTCAGTCGTCTCATCAGCATTTCAAATATTGAGCTGAGCTCAGAGGATCTCTGAACCAATCATCTCTGAACTAATCCCGGCTTTGTTTGTCAACTGGTGGGTTCCAATATCCGTGTTTGCAGACATCTCTAACCAAGAAACAAAACCAAACGAAAAATCAAATTAAGACTTCTCCGCAGAGACAATTGACAAACACAGTCTTGGAATTGTTAAACCTTGGCCAGTGAACTCCGCTGTGGTCTGAATTGGGTGGGGGTATCGGCTCTCCTAGCTGCATGAGGAGAGAGTCCAGCCCTC